CATGGGACTTCAAGAAAGCCCATCTTTCTTTAACATGGGGTTTCTTTGTATGTGATGAGATATTTCTCATGTTTGAGAAGTTTTGAAATGCCCGGGTCAGAGAACTTTCCCCAAATGTAAGTCTTGCTGCAGTTTTAAGAATTCTAGCTATCACTCCAGTGACATTTACTGGTCACTGAGTTACTGTTTTAGAAAAAAGTTGGGGCGTTATTGCTGATGCTCATATGGACTTTTGGTGTTCAAACAGAGGTTTGGGGACCTTCTACCAATGCCAAGGAACAGCCCTGGCCAGAAGGTGTCGCTTATCCTTTCGATGTGTCTGAACCCAATGCAAACACATTAGCAGAAAACAAAGAAGGAAAAGATAGACTGACAGCACTTAGATTGGGGAGGCTTAGGGCCTTTGTGGAGGACAATCACCTTCTCACTGCTTGTACCAGAGATCCAGTCACACCCACATTGGGTGCCAGCTGCCATTCTGTGTTCCACTCACCCCTTCAGGATAGCCACGCCCATTGTACACTGGGTAGAGATTAAGGAAGTGAAGCTTGGTTGGGGGCAGGTGGTTGTAAGCAGGATCTTTGTCACCTGGGTGAGTACAAGGCAAACAGCACATGCCCCAGAGCATACTCAGTGGCTGGAGCATGTGTGTGTGTGTGTGTGTGTGTGTGTGTGTGTGTGTGTGTGTGTGTTGGGGGACCTTATAAGGTAAAGAAAAGAGTAAAGCCTGATCACTGTCAGGCTTCCTAGGGTTGACTGCGGGGCATGGGGCATTCGACTTTATGGAGTCAGGTTAGGAGATGGGAGAGAGGCAATTCCTGCCGTCCTTTCATGAGGTCTCCAGGATTTAAGCTCTCCTCTACCGTGCCGTAATTCTGGGCCATGAAAGTTCCACATTTCCCTTCATATGAACTAATCAAATTTATTTTCTCACCTGCCTCTAGCACAAACATCACTAGCATTAATGTGCTATCTCACCTGCTCTTTAATATGCAAATATCTATTTTCTTCTTTTTTTTGTGCTTTGTATGTGTTTTCATTGGATCTGTGTGTATATGTATGCATGCCTGTGTGTGTAGACTAGAAGTCAATGTCTAGTATTTTTACTTTATTTCTATTTTATTTGTTTTTATAATTTTTATGTTTTTATATTAATCACAGGTTATTTACTTTGTATCCCAGCCATAGCCCCCTCCCTCATTCCTTCCTAATCCCACCCTCCCTCCCTTCCTCCCTCATCTCCTCCCTGTCCCTTTCCAAGTCCACTGATAAGGGAGGTCTTCCTCCCCTTCCATCTGACCCTAGCTTATCAGGTATCTTCAGGACTGGTTGCAATGTCTTCCTCTGTGGCCTAGCAAGGCTGCTCCTCCCTCAGGTGGGGGGAGGGGGGAGTTGTCAAAAAGCCAGCCATTGAGTTCATGTCAGAAATAGTTCCTGTTCCCCTTACTAGGGAACGAACTTGGATACTGAGCTACCATGGGCTCATCTGAGCAGGGGCTTTAGATTATATCCATACATGGTCCTATGTTGGAAAAACAGTTGCATAAAAGACCCTTGTGCCCAGATATATTTGGTCCTTGTGAAGCTCCTGTCCTCTCCAGGTCATACTAAATCCCCCTTCTTTCATATGATTCCCTGCACTCTGCCCAAGGTTTAGTTATGAGTCTCAGCATCTGCTTTGATACATTGCTAGTAGAGTCTTTCAGAGGCTCTCTGCGGTAGGCTGCTGTCCTGTTAGTTGTTTTCTCCTACTTCCAATGTCCATCCCATTTGTCTTTCTAAGTGAGGATTGATCATCTTACCCCGGGTCCTCTTTCTTGTTTATCTTCTTTAGGTATACAGATTTCAGTATGTTTATCCTATCTTTTTTAAAATTTATTTATCTATTATTAATTTTTATTTTTATATTAATCACAGGTTATTTACTTTGTATCCCAACCATAGCCCCCTTTCTCATTCCCTCCCAATCCCATTCTCCCTCCCTCACCTCTTTCCTGCCCCTTTCCAAGTCCACTGATCCTATCTTATAGGTCTAGTACCCATTTAAAGTGAGTATATACCGTGTGTGTCTTTTACACAATGGAATACTACTCAGCAATTAAAAACAAGGAAATCATGAAATTTGCAGGCAAATGGTGGAATCTAGAAAAGATCATCCTGAGTGAGGTATCCCAGAAGCAGAAAGACACACACAGTCTATCTCATTTTTTAAGGCAGGGTTTCTCCTTAACTCTGGAGCTCAGCACTTGGCCATACTGGTTAGCCCCTGGGATCCTATCTCTGTCTCCCTAGAGTTGGGGGTCACAGACATAGTCTACCATGTTCAGCTTTTTTTAAGTGTTGATGATCCAGACTTAGGTTCTCATGCTTGCACAGCAAACATTTTATCCACTGAGCCATCTTCTCAGTCCCATGAATGACTTTACTATGAGAATATTATCTATCAAAAGATAGTCTGAATGAGTTTCTCTGAGAATAATAAAACTATTGCTTCAAGGAGGTAAAGAATGTGCAATCTTTCCAGGCCATACCTATTCAGCAGAGCCCAGTTTAATATATAAAAATACAAGTAGAATGAAATGTAATGTGTAAATTATAGGAAAAATGATAATTTATTGAGTGAAAAAAGTTCTTTTCATTCCATTCTAACAGTAGATTATGCCAAGATTCATTTAGCATTTAGGTTGAACCTCATCATGCGACCAGGCAGCAGTGTCTCTCCTAAAAGTGCATACAGACTCAGACAATTGAGAACTATTACAGTTAAGACTCAAAATGGTTTGTACAACTTGTCAAGGCAAACTGCATGCATATATCCATTAGTTATTAGCATTAAAAAGACAAGTGAGAATATGAAAATATATGAGCAGCATTCACAACATACAGAATTCCTGAGAATAGTGTGTGCTATAAATCTTTGAGAAATAATTTACATTCATATGAAAAACATGTATAAAACATTTCTCTCAACTTAAGCAGAGTAATCTAAAGCTAAATACTGTGAGGAGCTGTCTCTGTTTTGCTCTCACTGATGATGAAACCAGGTTTTATTATCCTGCAGTGTTTACAATCAAACACTGTAGATCATGTTTTTGGTTCTTTGTTTTCTCACGCCTGTTTCAAAAATATCAGGGAAGGCATTCTCTAAATTAACATACAACAACATTTATTAAAATATCTTTCTCTGTTCATACCAATCAGTATGATATAAACCCCAATGAACTATAGAAAAACCCTAGAAATAGAATTCTCAAGGAAAAAAAAAAAACCTTAGTTTATCCTACCTAAGACACATGTCTGTCTTGCATCCCTAATTTGAAAAATATGTAAATTTTAGGTAAGCAAAATATGCTCTGGTATGTGCAAACATTTAATTAAGAAGAGGGAACATGGATGCCCCAAAATAAAGGTGCTGAAAACTCAGTTGGGTAATTTTTAAAATTAGCCATTATGTTTGCAGTGGAAGAGTCCTAGGAGCAAGGATTTGTGTGAGAATTCACTACATATCTCATTTAATTTAAATTAATTTATTCATTTATTTTGTGGTGCTGAGAATTGAGTCTATATGTGGCTCTTGAATGATAGACACACATGGCCACTGAGCTCTATCCCTAAACCCTGTGGGAGAATTTGTAATCTCGGACTGCTTGGCTCAGAATAATAGGGAAAGTAGAGAAGTGAATGTCCTTGACAGAAACTATAAAACAACCATAATCAAGTAAACAAAGCTTTTTAGTTTTAGAATTCGAGCAGTGCACTTCCAGGAAGTGAAACTAATTTCCTCGAGAGAAATCCACTACTATGTGTGCAAAGTAGTTTTATTTTTGCGCGTGTGCCTAATCCAATAGCTTGAATTTTGTAAATATTCCTGTTTTGCTTAATTGAACAAAACCAAACTGAACAAAAAGCAGAAATCACAATACTTATGTATGTGTTTATGTGCTCTCTCTCTCTCTCTTCTTTCTCTGTGTATTTATGTGTTCTGTATTGTGTGTGTTGTATGTTTGTATATTCTCTGTGTGTGTGCATTCTCTATCATTTCCCACATTGTTCTCAAGAGAAAAAAGCTTGGATCTTCCTGTTTTGCAACAAAAAGTGTGTTGATTTCTACCATATACCCATCTACTTTATCCCCTGCCTTTCTTTTTTTATTCTGCCCCCTCAAGTTGTGCCTCCTCACAAATCCTTCAATTGGATACACCTTCATTTGTGCTCCATGAATGTGTGGACAAAATTGACATTCAAATAAGGATGCTCCAACACATGAAATAATTACCTTCACAATTAATTTGACTTCGTTTCTAGAGAATTTTCAAATTAAATAAAATAAACTCATCAAAAACCAAACCAAAACAAACAAACAAAACAGAAATCTCCCTTCCATGATTTTTTTTTAAAAAAAGTGAAACTCAGAAGGTATTTTATGCAAATAATATACTATATGCATGCATTCTTGTCATTAGCTCATAATTGAGAGTGCATTATAGAACATCGTAAGTGCTTCGGAACATTTGGCTTCAGATTTCCTGAATGAACAGATTACAGTAGCATCTTGTGTAACTGGTCTTAGAGCTCCGTAAGCTGGAACTCACATCACAAAGTGTAAAAGTGCAAACATATAAGGAAGATTGACATATTTACATGGTTTCAACATAGTGTTCTGTGATACTTGTAATAACTCAGAGAAGGGCACGTGGAATAGAATGTAGTATAGGCTTCTGCAACAAAATAAAAAGTTGTCATTTTCTAAGTGACACGAGTATAGCCATTCAAACATTCGAAGTGGAACAGTTGGTATTGATTAATAAAAATGGGCAGTGTGCTTGGCTCTGAGTGACAAAGCAAACTTAAATACAGCCAATATAACAGTTATTCCAATGGTAGTTTTTAATTTTAATTTTTTATTTTTTGGAACTTAGATTTTTGGTTTGACTACTATGCTGATGTGCAACTCTTCAAGTGCATAGTCAACATGAAGCAGCATAAAAATGCCATGTGCATACACCTATTGGGTCAATAAGACAAAGACAAGTCCACTAGCCCATAAGCTAAAGGGACATGGAGTTCTGAAATCAGAGCCAACAATAGACTTAACTCGTTTCTTGTGAATATCTGAACTCACATGAAAGTCCTAGACTCTGATTAGTACTTCTAGCTTATGAATATTTTACGTGGAAATCCGTCCCCTGGAGATTTCACCACCACCTTCCTATTTACTCTGCAGCTGATGGAACAGGGTGGCCTCAAAACACCAATCTCCTCTGAGGCTTTGCTCTGAGAACCAGAGCCTGGCTCCCTGCCATTCAGTTGCATCCCTTTAGAGATCACAAGTCTTTTTTTTTTTCTTAGAAATCTGAACATTCCAAATCCCAGAGACTGCTGTGATGTATTTCCAAGTAGCATTTTATAAGAACGATTTGCCAAGTATGCTTTCCTCTTGGATCCCATCTATATTTCAAAGGTCTCATTCCTGCACACTAATGGTACCTCCCCTTTGGGTAACAAGTACTGCCTAAGGCCATTCATGGTGAATAGGCTGACCACTTTTTCTCCTCTGTTGCTGTAAATGTTCCAGTTCAGCCTCGTACATCATTTCTTGGACTAAGTATTTCTCCCGCCGTATGCGTTCACGGAGGCCCCTTGGTATGTCTGGAATCAGGTATGCAATGAACGACTTAATCCCAAACACAAGGTGCTGCAAAGGTAAGGGTAAAAAGAAGGTGTTCAACTGTTCTAGAGCACTCACTGTAAAAGAGAAAAACCATGAGCAACAATGCATTTGCCTTAAAGTCAAGCATCAGAACTTAACTGAAGCATTTAGAGTATTGCTTTTAAGAGTTATTTGGAGAACACAAATGTAATTGACTGTCACCTTAGTCAGACTCCAAAAGATTGTTTCCTCTTTTTAATGCCGTATAATGACATCACTCCATAAAAAAATATTTAATTCTTGTAATAAAAATCCTACACAGTATGTAATATTATTATAATGTACACTAATAGATACAAATATGAAAGAAGATTCCAGGAAATATGTGTTTTTGATAGACCAAAATACACACTCTATAAACCTGTGAGCCAGGTGTTAAACTCAGCCTCAAAGAATGCATTTTTTTTTCAGAAATTCTATTATATGAGTTCACTATCATTGGTACTGCTATGATACATTTAATCTGTTATATGATTTTGGTATAATATATACTATTTGTATTTTGAGAGTAAAATGGCAGTAGTGGGGATTTGCTGGTTTTGTGAGTTTGCTTTGAAAAATAATTTTGCTACGTATTCTTGTGTGGCCTGGCCTAGACCTTTCTTGCCAGACTAACTGAAAGAAACCACCCGCCTCTATTTCTCATTTGCTAGGACTGAAGTTGTGTACCCGCACACCGAGCTTTAGTGCTGGATTTGAACAACTAAAAATGTTACTCAAAAGGCGTTATGCTTGTACGCAAAGGCTCAGTATTTGAATCAGACCAAGTAAGTCTTCATGCTCGGTAGCTGTGTACCACTGACCAAATCAACATTCTGTGCCTACGATAGTGATATGACTAAGTCTTAAAAGAATTAAGTAAACACGTTTGCATTGCTTAAAAGAGTGCTTGGTGCAGTGTAGGTCCTGCTTAAATGGCACTTCCTACTGCTATAAATATCTTATGAGAATGTTACATCTTTCTGTTTCTCAGAAAGGAGAGGGAACAATTTGTGGGGTTGGCATGGCCTGTTGAAACAATACCTGTGTATAAAAAGCTTTTAGTGTACAATGGCCTCTTTATGAGAAAATGAGGAATTCATTGTACTTTTAGCTGGAATGGTTTATGTGTCCCAAGAAATTTCATTGCAAAGTAGATAGCAGTGAGCAGTTCACGTTTTCCCACACACAATCAGACTATTTTCCTCATCACTTAAACATATCATGCTTCTAAAAAATCCAATAATATGTCTAAAAACTATAAGAATGCAAATAAAAATATTGCTCTGATTTAGTAAAGTGTAATATATGATAATAAATATTTCATTATATTTAAAGATTGTTCTGTTTTTGTTCCTGAACATCTAGTAGGCAGCGTAAATTTTGGGTAGAAGTTTTTGGTGTGCGTTAGTATTCCTCTCCCTCCACTCAGAGTCCCATGGAGGCCTCTTCAGTCTTCATAATCCCTGCTATTAGGATTCTCATCTACAGTCATCCTCTTATCCTCCTGGGAGCCTATCCTGTATTAGGTCTCCAGCTTGTCACAGAAATGCCTCCGTCCACGGTTTCTCTTCTCTCTGCAAGCCCTCTGTCCTCCTATCTCTGCTCTTCCAATACCTGATCCTCACCTTCATTTTTATGGGAGATCCTTCTTCTACCCTGTTCCCTCTCTTCAACAGGAATGCCCAATCAAACACCTACTCCATGGGAGAGAGCCAAACCCTGACACTATTAATGATACTCTGCTATGCTTACAGACATGAACCTAGTATGGCTGTCCCTTGAGACACCTCACCGACCTATGGATCAAAACAGATGCTGAGACTCAAAGCCAAATATTGTTTGGAACACAGGGAGTCTTGTAAAAGAGTGGAAGGGTGGGGGAGGGGAGAATAGGAGAGAAGGGGACCGAAGGGAAAGGATAGGACCTCCACAAGAAGACCAACAGTGCCAACTAACCAGAGCACTGGGAAGGGGGGTGGGAGGGCTTATAAATATTGAAACACCAACCAAGGATCATGAACAGACAAGACCTAGGCCCCCTACATAGAAGCAGCCTATGAGAAGCTCAGGCTTCACGTGGGTACCCTAGTAAGGAGAGCAGGGGCTGTCTCTGACATGTGCTCTGCTGCTCTTTTTCAATCACTTGGCTCTGGCAGGGCTGCCTCACCAAACCACAGGGACAGGGGATGAGGATGTGCTCAGTCATGATGTGACTTGATGCACTCAGATGGGCTGGTGGGGAGGAAATCTCTCCTTTTCTGAGGACTAGGGGAGTGAGGATAAGAGGAAGATGGGGGGGTACAGAGAAGAGAAGAAGGAGGGGCTACAATAAGTATGTAAAATGAATAAAAATAAATAAATGAATAAAAATATTTAAAGATTGTAATTCATATGTTCAATAGATGTGTTCTAAACATTGGTTGAGCTCATTGACACTTCTTTGTAGATCTAAGCAAGCAAAGTAAGTAAAAGGTAAAAGAAACTTTAAAACACAAAATGATTAAAGTTATTTGGAAAATAAGACACCCAAAGTGATACTGGATGTATATATTATATACAATAGTTTTATATATATATATATATATAATATATATATAAGCTATATATTATATAATATATAAACCATATATATTGCTTAGGAGTTATGGGATCAGTAATGGGAATGAAGAAAGAAAAATGAAGAAGAGGTCTTCACATGGACCCACGAGTGATATTCTGCATTTATGTATCTGATTAACTTGTTTACTTGATGCCTAAGGAACATAGAAAAAATGTATATTTTTAAACTAGATAATGAAAAACATCTCATTGAGTTGTTAAATTGAAAATATGAGTTAAACTGTCACACTACTAGCAATGAAGTAGAAAGTCTTATTTAGTAGGTTGTATTTTCATTCACTCAGAGAGTCATTAAGTCAGAAAATTTCACTCCTGATTAAGATCTTTAGAGACAAGCATTTCTTCTTTTTTCTTTTTAATTTTTATATTAATTACAGTTTATTCACTTTGTACCCATCTGTAGCCCCCTCCCTCAGACCCTTCCAGTCCTACTCTCCTTCCCTCATCTCCTCCCATGCCCCTCTCCAAGTCCATGGATAGGGGAGGTCCTTCTCCCCTTCCATCTGACCCTACCCTATCAGGTCTCATCAGGACTGGCTGCATTGTCTTCCTTCTCTGGCCTGGTAAGGTTACTTCCCCCTTAAGGGGAGGTGATCAAGGAACCAGCTACTGAGTTCATGTCGGAGACAGTCCCTGTTCCCATTACTAGGGAACCCGCTTGGACAATGAGCTGCCACGGGCTACATCTGTGCAGGGGTTCTAGGTAATCTCCATGCATGGTCCTTGGTTGGAGTATCAGTCTCAAGGAAGACCCCTGTTGCCCATATTTCTCTGTCGAGCTCCTTGTGGAGCTCCTGTCCTCTCCAGGTCATTCTATCTCCCCCTTCTTTCCTAAGATTCCTTGCACTCTGCCCACTTTCATGTATTTCACTATAAATTTTAACTTATATTGAAAATCACTTGAAATGTGTAATAGTCTTTAAAAAGTTTTTCTTCAAATTTATTGAGTAGAATATTTGCTTAGCAGTCACAAAGCCCCAGATCATATCCCCTGGTTTGTTTAGAGCAAGTGTGATAGTACGTGCTTTTATTTCTAGTACTTGGGAGCCACAGATGGGGATCAGGGGATCAGACCAACCTTAACTAAACAGAAAGTTTAAAACCAGCTGGGTACATATGAAAAAAATTAAAACAAGACAGAAATTTCTTTGTTTCAGAAATTTTCGATAGAACTATATTATTTAGAAAACCTATAAAATTATTCATTGACACAGTGTAACTAAGAGAAATTGTTCAATTCACCCCAGTGCTAAATTCTTCACTGTATAATGACTTGTAAAACAAATGGAAATACTGTATGTAGTTTCCCCAAATTTACCTTAGAGTACTACAATTCAGTATTGTCATGTCTGTACTAATTAAACGTCAGTCATTTTAAGTAAAAGTTTTAGGCAAATTTTATGAGATGAGATCATCTAATGTGTTTTAAACAAATATATGTGGAATTGGCTGCATTTTGAGTTAATTACTCAGAAATACCAAGTGTTCTATCCTCGTGAGCAGATTTGGGCTCATTTGTCAGCCTATGAAAACCACCTCTTTCTTTGTAAGCATGGTCCCTTGGAGCTTAAAATTAGCAGCCTCAAAATTTTTGTGCAAAAGTATCTTTCTCTCTGATTTTCTTGTATAAGTACCCATTAATTTTTGGTTACATTCAGCTCTTTCTCATTATTTTTCATGTTCTTTATGATTATTTTTACCATATTCAACACTTTCCCAGGGCATACCAGTAAAGATTTGACATCAAACTATTGTAGCAATTAACAAATCTGTTACCCACAGTAACCTCTTATGTGACTAACCTCAAACACAATAATGAAGGCCAGTCGAGCAGCCAAGATGTGCCAGTACTGTAAGGTGAACTCATAGGGTTTGGAACTCCAAGGAGGACCTCTATAATCTCGGTACCTGCAATACACACACACACACAAAAAGAAAGCATGGAAGATAGCAAAACATTCTTGGCTTACCCAAACTCCAAAATGACAGTTTAAGTGAGTTTTTTGTTTTGTTTTGTTTTGTTTTGCATGTAGAGGAGATGAGATGGCGGATGAGATGCAGGCAGGAAAGATAATTACATGATAGGTAATTACCTGCAGTACCCAGATTTTCCCATACCAAGTTCGCTCAGGTTGAAGAAGGATAAGCTATTGTTGACATATCCCTTCAGGCAACTAGAAGGAAACAACAGGATTACATGAGTCATAAATTAATACGTTTCTGTCACAACTTCTTTATAAGTGGCAGGATTCGATACATGCTGTTATTCCTTCTCATCTAAATACTCGGCTTTCTTGTTTCAATCTGTCCTCATGTCTTCTTGTCCTGTCCACTCTTCTCAATATTATTTCCATTAATTTTTAGTTTACTTAAATCAAAGTGAAAAACACATTAAAATGTGGTTTCTATACACAAGGCATCCTGTTACTTGTGCATTTGAACTCTGTTAGTCATTTATAAACACACATGCATGCAACACAATTGACCGATTATTAGTAATGCCTACTTATTATCTACTCACCTATTTAATATATTTATTGTGTACCTACAGTTTATTACAAAATCCTCAATTCTTTATACACAACAGTGAGCAAAACAAGTATTTATACACAGTGAACTTGTTTTTCTCCATCAAGAAAGATGGTTATTAGCTAGATTTTGTGGCACATGCCTTTAATTTCAGACCTCAGGAGGCAGGGGCAAGCAGAACATTGAGTTTGAGACCAGTTTTATCTACAGAGAGAGTTCCAGGAAAGCTAGGGCTACATAAAGAAACCCTATCTCAAAAAAAGGAAGGAAGGAAGGAAGGAAGGAAGGAAGGAAGGAAGGAAGGAAGGAAGGAAGGAAGGAAGGAAGATCATTATGTTGTCTGCAGGAAAATGACTGCAACTGAGAATAATCATATTGGGTTACTGAGCCTGTCCCAGAAAGATAATCTATGTTTTCTCTCACGTATGTTTCCCAGATTTTAGATAGAAACATACAATTATGTATGCAAATATGAAATAAAAGTAGAAGTCAAACTTATAGATATACAATGGGGATCATTGAGAGAGGAGCAGCATATGGAACTATGAAAGAAATACCCTCAAATGAGGCTTATGGATCACATGTTGAGACACACAATCCTAGGAATAATGGTTTTCAAAACTTGGACTCAACCAAGGACCATGCATTGGATATGATCTAGAACCCCTGCTTGGATAGAGCCCATGGTAGCTCAGCATTCAAGTGGGTTCCCTAGTAAGGGAAACAGGGATTGTCTCTGACATGAACTCAGTGGCTGGCTCTTTGACCTCCCCACCCCTGAGGGAGGAGCAGCCTTGCTAGGCCACAGAGGAGGACATTGCTGCCAGTCCTGATGAGACCTGATAGGCTAAGGTCAGATGAAAGGGGAGGAGGACCTCCCCTATCAGTGGACTTAGGGAGGGGCAAGGAGGAGATGAGGGAGGGTGGGATTGGGAAGGACTGAGGGAGGGATCTACAGCTGGGATACAAAGTAAATAAACTGTAATTAATATAAAAAATACAAATTTAATAAAAAAAAAAAACCTGGACTCAAGCACATGTTTATCACATCCTCAACTTTGAAATATTAGTCAATATTCATCAATGGCTTCACTGTTTTCCTTGTCCATTCTATATCTTGTAACATCACTCACATACTTTCTTGCCAATATTTTCTTCTCCACTATGTTTTGTCTCTTCATGACTTGATCTGAAATTTTCTAATGTGAAAAGATTTTCTTCAATTTAATTGCTAAGTGTACTTCGTAGATTATTAGGTCATTGAGTGTCCCTATAGATATATGATGTCCAAGTCACAGAAGACCTGCACCGTTTTGCCTGAAATTGGTCTGCTTCCTTCATGACTGAATGTGGAGATGTTGGGTGCTGTCCACAGAAAAGGCAGGTCTGAAATGTAAACTCAGCCAGTAGACTATTCGTCCACCACTAGGTGGCAATAGAGCAACTAGCAAGTACTTCCTCTAAGAGAGACACCAGACACTTAGACTTTTCAGATTCTTAAATCTGCTTCCAGATCGTTCTGTATTAATAAAAAGAGAACGTTTTGATTCTGCACGATTGCTATTGAAACAACCTTATATTTACATTGTGTGATTCTCAGATACATTCTCAGCTGTGAACACTTGCTCTTATGAATCACGCATGTCACACAGATGGTGTACATCTTAGCAAGTGACAAAATTAGAACTCAAATTGAAGGTGTCTAACTAGGAATTCCTTTAAATCATTTAAGGACTCTAAGACTTGCTCAAAAAAGGGGGGGGGATGGTATAATGCTTCTTTTATCATTGGACAAATGATAAATGGTTTATCATAAACCATTAAACAAATGGACACATTTGTTTAAGGGTTTTTCCAGGGTACTAGGGAAATACCAGTTCAGCAGTAGTTAATTAAAGGCCAATGTCACCCTAAAGTGAAGCTCCACCTGTTGGGGCTCATGACCCCTCTCCATATTTATTGCTGCTCCTGAGGAGAAATATTTTTTTCACTCGTCTGTTTTTTTTTTTTTTTTTTTTTTTTACAGATTTGCATCTAAGGCTGATACCCACCTACAAAGCTTTTAAATGTGATCCCAGTTCTCCATGGTCAGTTCTCAAATGCATTGTCCCCCAATACTTATCTAAAGGAAAAGCCTAAGATGACAGTACTGCTTAAAGAGGTTGTCTATATGCAGTTATTTTGTCTTCCAGAGGACAGCGAGAGAGGTATAAAGATAACCATTGTTATCAGAATGTAAGGATTGAAATGACTGTCTCCATATCAACTGGTTAGAGAGCACACATGCTTCTAAGCATCCTACCATGGGTAAAACAGCCCCTTTCCTGACAGAAAAGAATCATTTGAATTACAATGTCAATAGCAATACCAAACCAAAGGAGTAAATACTGCAGCAATTGAGACACTGTCCTGATTTAAAGTGTGCATTTCAGCTTTAGATGAAAAAAACACATATTAGTGACATAAAATGAGGCGATTCTGCACCAGTCAGATCTCTGCCACTATAAGGTTTTTAAAATATCTAAGTAAGAAGATTACAGATACTGTATTCTCTGTTTCTCACTTTTTACTATCTCTGTTCCCTTTGTTATTGGCTTTACTTTCCCATTTGCACAACAAAAATGCTATGCTGCTTCACTGGAAAAATCTAAAGTCTATTCAGGTTCTAGACCTGGGACCTTTTCGGTAAGCATTAGAATGGTCTTAGCATTTTGATGCATTTTCGAGTAAAAACAAACTCTAAAATTAGTTTTTGGAGAAGACACTTTCTGTTCTTATCCCCGTTTGCTTTCATCTAATAAATACATTATAAATACAAGGACTAGAAAACTTACTTTTTAGGGGTCAGAGAGCAAAACTTCCCAGTTCTTTTTATTACAACTATAATATAGATCATAAAAATATGTAAAAATCAACCTTACTTTTCATTCTGCTTTACATGATTTGCACAAGGTCCATATTTGTATTCATAGACAAAACGTGGAATGTAGTCAGATGTAATAGCAATTACAAATGCATTGGTGATCACAGCCAGTATACCAATTCCCTCAAGTATTCCAAACCAGATACCTGGCAGAGGAAAGATTAAAGCTAGTGAATAAAAGTGAGCAAGATAAAAGCACTTGGGTTAATTTTATTTTGGAAAGAATATTCTGTTTATTTTTGAGCCACATTTCTGTACCCCATTTACTTTTCTTAACCATTGCTTATTACGCGGGTGCTCATGCACTTGGGTGCCTGCAAGATCGGCAGAGAACATCAGATTGCCTTGTGAGCCACCCAGTGCTCATGACGAGGACTGAACTCTGGTCTTAGGGAACAGCAGTAATCGCTCTTAACAGATGAGCCATCTCTCCTTACCTTCTTACTACAGTATAGTAAACTCCAGGTATAGAGAAGTTGCATGTACTATTCCTAAAAAGGGGAAATTGATTCTTACCAATGTCAGTTGCTCGGGCTGGCAGAGGCCTCCTCCACTGGGTCACAAATTTGTATGCATCCAATCTGATTTCTATGATATTGTTTAACAGAGCCAAAAGAGGGGCCAGGGGAAAGGCAGCAACGAAGATGGTGGTAAAACCAAATTGCAAAACTGTAAGACAGGAGCATTTCTGGAGTTACGATTATACACAGTAGAATCTACCGAGTGTCTCACTGTGCCAATAAGGAGCATTGAATGGGCTACCTTGAATTATTGCAGTAGCTCTACCCAGTAAATGCTCATTTTTGTAGTTGCAGAAACTTTTGTTCCTATGTGATAAGTATGCTTGTTAAAGATTAGATGGCTAAAAAATGATAAACAGCTGTACTCTATCACAGATATGGGCCTATTTAATGTCTACTTCCCATTCCACTCCCTTTGTAATACAAGTAAAAAGGGGGAGGAGTTAGAGAGAAAAGGAGAAGAAAGAAGAGGGGTGGGGGAGAAGTGTAAAATAGACAGTCAACGAGGAACATTTCCTTAAGGAAAACACTTGGCTCTGGCTGGGATGCGAATACCCGTTAGACACTACCCCCTCTTCTCTTTTTATGGAGGAGGATATTGTGTGCCAGAAAGTATCAAAGTCAACAACTGGACTGGAAAAATTCATATTTTCTTAATATAAATTAATGACATTTCTGCAGAAAGTAGGACTGAGACTGGATTTGAGAAGGTGGAGTAGATGGATGAGGAGGAGTTTGGGAAGAAGGAAGGTTGAATATGGCCAAAATACATTATATGTAAGAAACATAATAAAAAATGCTATTTAAAAGTGACTTTCTTTGAGGAGATTACTGTTTTCATTTGTAAAGACTTGAGCCAGCTCTCTTATTTTTTCATCAAAATATTTGCTCAAGATCCTGGTGGTGCATGCCAGTAATCCTAGCATTGCAGACATTAAGGCAGGAGGATTGTGAGCCAGTTTGTGTTATACATCAAGTTCAAGATCAGTATTAACTGCCCAGTGATTCCTTACCTCAAAAAGAAAAAAAAAAGATGCTAAAAAACTAAAGGCTTCCTTATGAGAACAATTTCGTTTTGACCCAGTGCCATAGCTTCTTGAATATAACATATGTGAAAGCCCACAATGCAGCACAGCCTGGGTGTTGTTAGGATAAAAGTTCCCCTGTGTCTCAGAATTCTCAGAGAAGAAAACACTATTGCCATTTTTATTGTTTTCCTCTTGCATCAAAGCAATGTCAACAAGGCCAAGTGTCTCTGAAGGAAAGTCTCTCCTTACCCATTTCTAAATACTCATCCATCAACCCATGGATGTTCATGGGCTGAAGATTCCAGTCATTTTCCCACTGTGGTATGGAAGCATCCTGTATTCCCCGCTTGATCTTATGTCGTGACCACCAGTTTTGGATTAACCTGTATCAGAGAGCAGAGCAAGGACATGGGACCTGTTACTGAAGCATCTGTGGAAAAAATGTACATGTTCACTAAGAAATAACAAATTTCAAGTGCTTGTTAGTTATACCAAGTATTCTTGGAATTGAAGATAGTCAATGGTTTTTAACTTTTGAATCACTGAAAAATAGTCTGAACTTTACGAAGTTTTAAACCTTTAAATTATAAAGTTAAATTTTAAAAAAATTAGCAAAACTTACAGATCCTACCATTCTGTAACTCTTTAAAGCCCTCCAAATATGTATTTATTTATCAAGAATTCACTACCCATAAACTGAGCCATTCCTTGATATTGATTAGGCTAAATTCATTTATTCTACCTCCACCTGTAGTAGCTTCTATGTTGCCTGCTGTCACTAGGCCTGATCCCTTCATCACTTATACACCATTGTGTTAGGGGTTGTTCATGTGAACATGTGAACATGAATAAATCATGTTCTACATGAAATAGCATAAAGTTTCAAGAGTTCTAGGTTCTGGACTCCATTCTGTCATTCATTCAATAGGGGATTTTTGTCAAATAACTTCACTTCTTTAAGCCATAAACACGAAATTTTGAACACTAATGACGGTATTCTGCTTTTATAGTTAAGAAGAATTGTCAAGCAGTAGGTATGCTTACATAAGTTATTGTCTGGTGGCTGGAGAAGAAATGAAAATACTCCATCACTGGTCTGGGGATGACACTATGAAGCTTAGAGACAGAGTGCTATGCTCTGCGAGGGGGTTCTATAGTGAATTACTTAAGAATGTGACAACAGGATATTCTAGGACAACATAATTTTATACAGCTCAGTGAATAGAACCCAAAGCTCAGTTTTAACTGATTGGATATTGAGAGTCTGTTAGGATAAGAAGTACTCCAGTCCTCATCCCAAAAAGGTCATCCTTGGTGTCTCATGAAGTGGTGAAAGGAGAGGCAGGTTAGAATTCACACAGCTCTGCTTATTTAAATTTTAAAGTTTTTTTTTCTTCTTCTTTTTTTCATTATCATCATCATCTCCTCCTGCTCTCACCCTCCCTCCATCTTTTCCGACTATGACCCTCCCACAGTCTGCTGATCTACTATCTGACCCTTGCCTATCAGGTCTCATCAGGACTGTCTGCATCTTCTTTCTCCGTGGCCTAGTAAGGCAACCTAACCAGGAAGAGGTGATCAAAGAGCAGGCAAATGAGTTCATGCCAGTGACTGTCCCTGTTCCCCTTACTAGGAAGCCCACATGGAGACTGTGCTGCCTATGGGCTATATCTGAGCAAGGGGTCTAGGTCCTCTAGATGCATAGTCCTTAGTTGAGTCATCAGCCCCTCTGGGCCCAGATTTATGGTTCTGTTGGTCTCCTTGTGGAGCTCCTGTTCCCTCGAGATCGTTCTATCACCCCTTTCTTCCATAAAATTCCCTGTACTCTGCCCAAAGATTGGGTATGAGTTTCAGCATCTGCTTCAATACCCTGCTAGAGAGTCTTACATAGGCACTCTGTGAAAGGCTCCTGTTCTGTTCCCTAGAATCCTTCCTCTGTTGCTGGTGGGAATGTAACCTAGTACAACCACTTTGGAAATCAATCTGATGCTTACTCAGAAAATTAGAAATAGTGCTACCTCAAGATTCAGCCATACCATTCCTGGGCATATATATAAAAGATGCTCAACCATACAACAAGGACATTTGCTCAACTATGTTCATAGCAGCTTTATTCATAATAGTCAGAATCTGGAAACAACCTGGATGTCCCTCAGTTGGAGAATGGATACAGAAATTGTGGTACATTTACACAATGGAATTCTACTCAGCAATTAAAAACAAGGAAATCATGAAAATTACAGGCAAATGAATGGCACTAAAAAAGATCATCCTGAATGAGGTAACCCAGAAGCATAAAGACCCACATGGTATATGCTCACTTATAAGTGGTTATTAGACATATAATATAGGATAAATATACTAAAATTTATAGCCCTAAAAGAGCTAAATAACAAGGAGGACCCTAGGGAAGATGCTTAATCCTCATTCAGAATGGCAAACAGGAGAGACATGGGAAGTAGGAAAAGACAGGGAATTTCAAAGTTTTAATTGAATAGAGAATTGTGGTTTAAAATCTGACAATCACAGCTTTGGTGATCCATTCATTCCTACTGTTTTCACCTACAAGTTCTTCATAGAAGTGTGTGAAAAACACAAATGGAATATTTCTTAACATTTTCTTTCAGTATCTGAAATGCATGGTCCAGGCTTGCCACCCGAGCAAGGCCACCATCTACATGAGTAGCTGACATGCACACATGATGATGACCACACATAATGATCAGGATGAACGTGTGATGATCACGATGATCATCGTTTTCTATTCTACAGTGGTTACAATTACATTCTGTTGAAATTTATAAAGTGATACTGGAAGATCCAATCCTAGGCTACACTCTTGATGTCTAAAGGGGAAAAGACACAGCAAGTACATGAGGCAAACCCTAGTCTTTAATTCCTCATGAAGGCTTCATTTAGAAGAGATTTCCTTGAATCTGTATATAAACTAAATATATAAATTCATATACACATATATGTATATGGATATAATACACACTATTCATAAGGATTTGTTATTTAAAATTAAAATTTAAATTATATTGGGTCATTTCCTTTTTTTTTTTTTTGCAAAGCTTTTGTTTTAAAAATAGCTAAGAAGCTGAAGTATTCTATATATAGTCATTCCTTTAATCCCGACAGCTGCTCCTGAAGTTGATCTCCCCATTTATCTTTTCTTAAAGATGTGAAAAATTGAGGTTCAGAAAGCCTAAGCTTACAGGCAATCACACATTTAGTAATGGTTGGAGCAGGACCTAACCCATCATCTCGCTGCTCATGATCTCTAAATTGTAACTATACACAAGACACATTTAAAGATAGTATGTGCTTACGGATATCCCAGCTCCATGAAGTTGTTCCAAATTTGCTTTAAAAACATGATGACTCCCATCTGGAGGCAGAGGTCTATCAGACAGCCACTGGGATGACACTAAAATAGAACAGGGAGCGCTGTGAGAATTCTGCTCCCTCCTGCCCCCTCCTCCCAAGCTGGTTCGAGTATCTCCAACTTTAAATTGGAAAGTAAAAAATTTACATCTGGGTCACATTTTCTCGTGTGAAAAAATGGAAACAGGTACAGTGACATTGGGTGAAGCTTTGAGTTATTGCGGTAGAATTTGAGTAGCTTTTAGTGAGTGCTTGCTGCTCCCCACCTTCCGTCATGGTCACATATAATGAATGCTGACAAATGTTTTACACCCGCGAACAGTAAGGTATTAGAAAAATAATGCTGACCCAGTGTTTACGGTTTGTTTCTGGGAAAATTTCTATTTCGAAATAATTTTAGATTTTTTGAAAAATTCAGACATTTTAATAAGTTCCCATGTATTCCTCCCCATCTGGCTCAGAGTTAAAAAAAAAAAAGTAGCAGTAGTGGCCTTGCAATTAAGTCAACGCGGTTGCCATTTTCATCCCCTCCCCCTTGTCCCCTGTCCAGGAATGTTGCACAATGCAATACTGCCTTTCATTTCATGTCTCCCCATTTTCTTCTCTTCTGGACAGGTTTTTGTTGTTGTTGTTTGTGTTTGTTTGTTTGGTTGGTTGTTTTTTTTGGTAACCTCAGTGGAGCCTGCAGGTCTCCAGGTCTGGGTTTATATGAACATTTTTTTCTCTGTGCTAATTTTTTGCTGTTGTTTATATTTCTAGTAAGTTGGCATGAAAAACATACAAGCACGCATGTGAGCACATGCACACACACATACAAGTATGACTTAGCTGAACATCGTGACCAATATGTGCCTCTTGAAACTGTGCTAAAAAAGCAATTCGGGTGGAAAATATGGGTCGGGATCTTTAGAAATGGGATCATGTCCTGCTCAGAAGGATGATTATTTCTATGGCTTTGATCCATACTTTCTATTTCTGTCAAATTGGTACTGGTGGGACTTCAAAAGGAATAAACAAAACATAAAAGAGCCTGCTTTTCCTGTTCCAGCCCAGTGGCTGAAGAATTGGAGCCAGAAAGTAGGTGTGCCCAAGGCCATGCTGATTGCCGAGCAGGATCCAGATTCGATCATACTGGTACACCTCCACTTTCTAGCATGAACGTATGACCCCCTGGATTCTTCCTCACTTTATACCATCAGTGCGTTCAGTAGAGTGCGTGAAGCTGAATCTCTAAGATACAGGGGCAATCACAGCTTGACAAGACTGTTCTTCATTTTTTACAGAGAGACTTGGTGGCAACTCAGGAAAGAACAGTCTGGCCTCCACCCCCAAATGCATCAGGCCGATGATAAATTCTATTTACCAAATATGTCAGTTGCCTTGGAGTGTAGGCTTGACATACCTATATAGTATTATAAGCAAGAGGAGAAAGAAAACAGTGTGAGAGATATATGATTGAATCATTTTTCTAACAAACAATGAATTTATTAATATTGAGCCTTGAAGGATTCATAATTTAAAAAATCTTTCCTATAGAGAACAACAAAGAAAGATGGTCATTGTTAGCTTTTTCAGTTTACATAGTGATTCTTTAAACACTAAACTTCATTTGGTAAAACATCTCATACTTAGAACGTGCAAATGGGCATGGATATATGTGGAAAAATCTAGTCATTTATGAGCAAACCAAAGTTCAGTGTTTTCATGTATTTTCTCATTTTGGTGAGAACGTGGTATAGAGAGGGCTAAAGGGAGGCTGAATGTCTTTAGTTATACTTCCTTTGAGCAAGCCAGGGAATAGACAGGACTGCCAGACTTCATGTTCCTTTACTTTACCTACTTAAGGGTTTTTGCTCTAAAGCCAGCTCACTTGTCTGAGCCAGTAATTAATAATCATCTCAGCCAAATTCATTTCCATGGCTATGCTTGCATCCCAATGGTGGCTGGGAAACAGTGTTAGAGCAAGACTTTGAAGCTGTGCTGCTTTCATTTGAATCATAATTTCGTCACCATTGTGACCTTAGGCAGATTATAAAACTTGTTTTTTTTTTTTTATTTTGTCCACTCATCTATAAAATTAATATAATAATAATAATACTATGAGGATTTAAAGAAATTTTATGGAAAGAGCGCTTAATAACAATTGCTGGACTGTGTCAGCATGTAGGAAGTGCTTGATAAATGTCAGCGATGTAGAACAATGTAATAATAAATTTACATCATTTTTATGAGATATCACCTAACTATCCAATATTGGTCACAAATCCAATACAGCCCCTTTATAAAACTTCTGACAAATTCTATCATATTTTTCTTTGTTCTGCTTACTGTCAATTGAGCCTTCTCTCTGAAATGTAAAAGTTAATTTAATTTCACAACTGAGAATTCTATGCTACCTCTTCCTATTGCCGGTTAAAAATAAAAGGAGCTAAGAGTCCCTGATAAGATCTTACAGAGTGGGAAATCCTAGCACACAGATTACTAGAATCCAAGGACAAAGCATTTGCTCATTTCTGATTCCATCACACTCAACATGGTTATTAATGCTATCAAATAAGGCTGTGAAACTGTCCTTTGCAGAGGGAAACTGCCTGTGACAGTTTGATCACACTTGCTTCTGATGTGAAGAAATTTAGAGTCAATACTTAGCCTTAATTTTCATCCTTTCTAAATTGTAGATTTTTAGTGTATATTGTAAATTAAAATGCTTGATTATTTTTTCCCTAGAACATTCAGTCCGTTGTGGGTCAATGTAGCCACCACACTTCTCATCTATAATGGGAAATGTACAGGAGGATTATGAGACATTTTTTCTGACACCAGTATTATATATATTTTTCTGTAACTTTCAAGGATTAGTCAAGACTTCTCACAATTTAATAACAGCAATAGTAATAACAAAACAACAATAGTAAACAAACATTTGAACACGATACATGGTAGTGGTAGTCCTAAAAGGGCATCAATGTGCAACTGTATGGCTATAACTACTCTGTTCCCACCTTAGGCTTTCTAACTCATCTAGTCTAGTCCTCCTGACAAGTATTTCTTAAATTATTAACTGGGTGACTAGGCTGGCCAGGCTCTTGTTGGATGTGGGTATTATTCCTGGCCATAAATAACAACAAAAACAAATTGACAGACATATGGGAAAACAGAACAAAAGAGAACTGGAAAACTTGAGACTTCCAGGCAATCCCATGTTTACCAGGGTTATAGAAGGTCTTAGTGTGTCCCTCCCACCCCCCACAGTGTCTTTCTTTGTAACAGATCACGCAGATTTGGGATTCCTCTAGCTAACCTACTTAAATTTTCAGCTTCTCAAGTGCTGGGCCTTACGAGTGTACCATGACCCTCAGGCTTTGTTTGTCTTTGGCCACAGAATACTACAACTATTGCCATGGAGCCAAAACAGTGATAAGCATCAGCAGCAATCTGTGAAGATTTCCCCTTAGTCTGTCCATTGCAGACTCTCTGTTGGATGCTTGCCATTGAGTCTGTGCTCATACTTTCTTCCTAGGTGAAGTGTTGTGCTTATTTTCTTTTGTAAATTAACTCTTTTCTATAAATAACTTGCCAACTTAGTTGTTACTACTGCCAATACAGCCTGGAAAACCGGATAGATGTGAATGATGAATTAAGGGTAAAGAACAAATTGTAAAGGCAAAAAATCATTTGAGCCCAGCCTTTTCACTGTAAAGCATGTATTCTGAGAAAGTTCTTGCCTTCATTCATGTACAGAGACAATTCCTGGAACAACCTGGAAAGACATCATTTGTGAGGTCTCCCAGTGATTTTGAAGAGCTTTCTATAGAGACTGGAAATATTCCTCCCTTCACTTTTCTTTTATAATCTTTTCTTAACTCTTTCTAAATTACAGCCTCATATTAAGAACATTATGTAGTCATTGGACTTTTACAATAGAATCATTACAATCACCTTGGTTGAGAGAGGAACATAATTCTGATCAGGAGACCAGAGACCAGCCATAGACACTATTGTATGATATAGGCTTCAACAAAATAGACTCTGCTTTTACTATTAAATACATAGCATCTGTTTGGTAGAAAATACTTGATTATTCTTCACACTAAAGTAAGTTTTGAACTGATAAATATCATCACAATATAAAATAATATTAATGAAACTGAATTATTTTATGTTCCTAGGATTAAGAAGAAATTTTGTTGCATAATATCAATACTGAAAACCAATAAGAAAGGTGCCTTTTAATCTAGGCATATTTGTCCACTCATGTAGTGCCAGCACTTGGAAGTTAGAGGCAAGGGGGTTAGGAGTTCAAGACCTTCCTCTGCTATATAAGAAGTTCAGAGCCCACTGTAAACTTTTCTCAAATCTAACTAACTAACTAACAACAACAACAACAAAAGCAAATGACAACAACAAAACAAAAACCCTGTCATTTTCATTTGATAAATGCTAAATATTTTTGTAAAATGAGCTATTAAGGAAAATTTAAAAGAGAAAGAAATTGAGAAAATCTGAAGCAAACTTGAAATATGAGATTCAAATTTTATAGTTTACAAATTAATAAGCAGAGAAAGTCTTATGAAAGTGAACCGGAAGAGCACACAGAGGTAAACATAACATAAACACAGCCATAAAGAGGATTTCTTACCTCAATTTCCATTAAAAAAAAAAAAAGAAAAGAAATCAAAAGAAGCTGTTCTTTCCCTAGACAGATCTTTTCAAATGCTTCTGTTGCCAAAACTCTGACAAAGAGACACCCCATCCTAGGAAGTGCTGACTTTCTGAAGGACAGTTTCTGAGTTTCAGTGAGGCCTCATGAGATGCAGCAATCCCACCCCTTCATCTTGTTCCCCTGGGCTATATGTATTGTAAATCAATAAAGAAACAAAAGCTTTCAGTATATGTACACACATACATCGGGCTATTCCATGTTGGATATTTTAAGGCTGAATTTTCATTTCATCAGAGGAAACCTAACCTTTTTACATTTAGAAATTCATTCCTCAAATGACAAAAATGAGTAAAACTGTGGGAACTATATTCGTGTGGCTTGTAAATAGAAAACAAACATACAAAAATGATTTAAAAATAAGAAGAGGCCAGTACATTGGTGTTAACCTGAAAAAGCACCATTTTTTTTTTTATTTAAAGATATATATCTGTTTCCATTTTCCCATGTTGAACACAAAAATCTCTTCTCTTCCAAACTGTGTCCCTAAAACTCTGGGATATCTTCTCTCCTCAGTCCATTACCTCCCACAGCCGCCGGCCTGTATCGGTTCCCACGCACACACCCACTCTCATGCGGCTACTTACTTCCTCCAGTCTCCACCGCTCAAAAAGTTTATTGTATTTTCCTGGATGGCCGACGAATCTGTAAAGAGTGTTCGAATTCATTAACAAGTGAAGTTCACCTGCTGACGAATCACACAGAGCCCTTGTGTGGGTAGACATAATTGTTCACTGGTGCAGTTTGTCCCACACTGTTGATATCTGCTATGCTTAAACAACATCAAACTAACTGGTTTTAAAAAGAGAACGTGACGCGTGGACTCAGTACCAATGAGTAGAGGAAGTACAGATATATCAATCTGATGACATTTAATACTTTATTCCATGTAGAATTCTAATATTGTGGGGGCCAGTTAATGGATATCATCATAATGTGAGGAATGATTTTGTTCAAAATGCTTCTACCTTCTGAATGTTCCCATGGCACCACATGGAGGGTTAACTATATAGCAAACTGGGCTTGTTAATTTTATACTATTTCCACCTCAAATGTTAGATCAGTGGAAGAAAAAAATAATTAATATTCTGGTTTCCACGCCAAAAAAAATTATAAATCAGAGATATATAAAAGTTCTATTACTCTAAGCAAAATAATAATTAGTGATAAATTAGAATTTCAACATGACATTCTCTCTCTCCCACTCTCTCTGTATGTTGTGTGTATACACAAAATATAAGTGGTAGTGGCTGTCAGAGGTTGTCTGAGTACGAATACATAAAATCTGATTAGTACAACATTCGAAGGAAGAGGTCAAGAATTCACTACTTCTGTTTCCTAATTGGCAATAGAGATGTTGTTTATGTTTTTCTTTCTCCCTGGCAACGGCATCGTGTGTAAAGTTAACTCACCTTCCCAGAAAGAATGCAATGTAGAAGATAGAACTGTTCAGGTTGACAAATTGGAAAAGGAACATCTTCAAGGCAAAGCTGTTTTCCCATTCTGATTCTGTTCGAGGATATTCTAGAAGAAGCACAGATTACTGACACACATGAAGTGAACAAATCCTATCAGTGTTCTACTTCTAAAAGGCCTTTCAGGCTTGCAGTGGAAAAAAGAAAAAGAACGTATATAGTCCTTGGTTGGAGTATCAGTCTCAGGAAAGACCCCTGTGCTCATATTTTTTGGTTCTGTTGCTCTCCTTGTGGAGTTCCTGTCCTCTCCAGATCTTATTGTTTCCCAAGGACTATCCATGGAGATAACCTAAGACCCCTGCACAGATGTAGCCCATGGCAGTTCAGGATCCAAGTGGGTTCCATTGTAATAGGAACAAGACTGTCTCTGACATGAACTGATTGGCCTGCTCTTTAATTACCTCTCCCTGATGGAGAAGCAGCCTTACCAGGCCACAGAAGAAGACAATGCAGCCACTCCTGATGAGACCTAATTGACTAGGATCAGAAGAAAGGAAAAGAAAACTTCCCCTATCAGTGGACTTGGGAAGGGGCATGCATGCAGAGGGTGGAGGAAGGAAGGAATTGGAACAGGAGAAGGGAGGGAACCACAGGGGGATACAAAGTGAATAAAGTGTAATTAATAAAGAATTTTAAAAAAGAACGTATATAGATTACAAAATAGAAATGGATAAAAAAATTATACATGTAGGAACAAATAATTACAAGCCATTATGGAAAGAGTCAGGTGTGGAAATATCTGTTTGTATCTTTTCTTTTTTTGTTTGTTTTTTTTTAACTTTTTTAAAATTTTATTTTATTTTTTTATTATTAGTTACATTTTATTAACTCTGTATCCCAGCTGTATCCCACTCCCTTATTCCATCCTAATTCCACCCTCCCTCCCTCATCTCCTCCCTGTCTCTTTCCAAGTCCACTGATTGGGGAGGACCTTCTCCCATTTCATCTGACCCTGTTTTATCAATAAAAGCTCCATATAGGCCAAATTTGAAATGATCAAAAAGTCTAGATTTCTAAGTTTTAATTAGGGCAAATCATTCTGTGAAGTAATATAGATTAAAAGTGAGCTATTCAGCTTTCTATATATTCTGACCAAGATTACAGTATTTCTGGTATGGAGGTTTCTCAGTAGGGATTTTGTACTAATCCTCAGTGAGTTATTTCTTCTAATATCTACATAAATACTTGATATAGTTGCCTCTGATGTTGACTTTGTACTTGAGCAATGAAACTCAGTCTTGCCATCAAGAGGTTAAGAAGTTGAGACATAGGAGCACACATTCAAGAAGGGACACAAAGAAAGATGAAGGTCATAGAAGAGATCAGGGAGAGAGCTACAGCTGGGATACAAAATGAATAAACTAATTAAAAAATTAAAACCTACCACAGAGTCCCTCTGAAAGATTCTACCCTGCAGGGTATCAAAGCAGATGCTGAGACTCATAGCCAAAATTTGGGCAGAGGGCAGGAAATCTTATGAAAGAAGGGGGAGATAGAAAGACCTGGAGGGGGCTGGAGCTCCACAAGGAGAGCAGCAGAACCAAAATATCTGGGCACAGGGATCTTTTCTGAGACTGATACTCCAACCAAGGACCATGCATGAAAATAACTTAAAACACATGCACAGATGTAGCCCATGGCAGCTCAGTGTCCAAGTGGGTTCCCTAGTAATGGGAACAGGGACTGTCTCTGACATGAACTCAATGGCTGGCTCTTGGATCACCTCCCACTGAGGGAGGAGCAGCCTTACCAGGCCACAGAGGAAGACAATGCAGCCAGTCCTAATGAGACTGATAGGCTAGGGTCAGATGGAAGGGTAGGTGAGATTAGGAGAGGACAAGGGAGGGGGCTACAGCTAGGATACAAAGTGAATAAATTGTTATAATTTTTTTTTAAATTGAAAAAAATTAGCCAATATGTTCTCACCAGAGCCTACACTCTTCTTTATGGAGGAGAGAGTTAAAATAGTTGCTGTAAAGTTTCCTCTGACTTCCACACAGGGGCAGAACCATGTTTGTGATGTATATTCTCCACATTCATTACATACATAAGGAATGAAGGGCAAAGAACTGATAAGTCTGAGAAAAAAATTCCAAAAGTAATGATGACTATGTTCCCTAGCTTCTTGGTGGATAGTGTCATATGACATGCTTGGCTTCCTTGTGTTGTTTAATGTAGATCAACTTCCAGCCCCACCTCTCTGGTTATTTGTAAGCACTTGCATAACTGAAGACACAAAATGGTAAAATACACTAAATATTTAAAGACTAATATGCATAGTTATTTACTTAGCTACAACTAAAATAGGAAAAATGAACTTACCTAAGTTAGTCAGGAGGTATGCAATTTTTTCGTAAGCCTACAAAATAGTATACACATAAATATTAATTTTTAGATAGTGCTATAATTTATATTCTTTAAAGAAGTGTCTAAAGGGTGTCTATAAGGTGGATATATTTTTAGCAAAGTGAAAAATATTTATTAGGGGCTGGAGAGATGTCTCAGTGGTTAAAGAGTGCTGTCTGCTCTTCCAAAGGACCAGAGTTCACCCACATGGTTCACAACTGTCTGTAACGCCAGTTCCTAGGGATCTGATACCTTTATCACATGCACATGAAGTAAATATTTAAAAAATATTAAAAATATGTATTAATATAGTACGTAGTGATCTATACATGCACTCAAAATGTCTGAAATATAAATGAGCTTAGAAATACATGTAGAGGTATACATATAGAGACCTCATCCACAAAACCACTCTTTGTTGCTATTGTAATTTTCATCGAGTATCTACTCTCCAAACTAAGAGTAAAATTAACCAAATTCATTCAGGTAGTTAGAGGCTGAGATGAGACTCACAACTGTCTGAAACTACAGCCTTGGGAGATCACGTATCCATATGCCCATGACATACACACACCACCCAGACACATGCATGCATACAAAAAAATAGATCAGAACAAAACCAAACGATAACCATGCCCAAAGTATTTGGAATTCAAGGAGCGCAGTTGAATATTTAATGAATTGTTCATATTCTCTGACTGTTCTTTCAATAAAACAATTGCTCTTTCATCTTAGGCATGATCCAAAACTACCTCTTTTTAAGATCAAGATTATCTCGTGACACATTTAATTAAGTCAATACTCTTCTCTCCCTAATGCATGTTTTGTCTGAATTTATTTTGATTTTATTTTACTTCTATTAATGAACTAATATTTTCTAATTTTAAAACAAGATTACTTTGATTTTGTGAGCACGTTACGCTCATTGCCCCGTGCTGTTTTCCATGCCCCACATTGTCCCATGCTGTTTTCCATGCCCCAGTTATAAAGTCAGATGCCAATAACAGGTTCTCTAAGGATTTTAACAGAGAGGACTTTATCATATGACAAATAACATTTGACCAGCCACTGTTTTGCAACACTGAGCAGAATGCCCTCATGAGGACTGAAAGCCAATTCTGTTTAAATAGTTGCCATTTACACTATTTTGATTGTGCCGGCACTTTCCATATATAATTACAGAACAACAGTTTTGTCAAAGACGTATAATACCCCATTTCACGAACAGGGAACTAAGACCGAGAATATCAGTCACGTGGCCTGATGGAATACAGTAAGTACTAAGCAAGAAGTACAATTAGAATGTTCTGTTGTGAGGATTTCCACCATCTATGCACTGCCTTAGTACTTGGCACATAAAATCCATATACAAGTGTTTGATGAAACATCTTAAGCTGGATGCAAGAGGAGACGACAATAACATCTAAAGGAAAGTTTCAAATTGTTTTTAGAAACTTATCCAAGGTAATTAAGGAATCGTCTAGACCTAAATGACACAGCTCATTGGCACCAACAATATGCTTCTCCACAGTCGGACCACAAAACACCTTGTTGAGTCCAACTCTAAAGGCAGGAAGCATCCATGACTTAAATGCTCTCAAATATATGACGTATGGTAGCAACTGTGCTGGGAGAGCAGGCTGTCTGTGTGTGAATTTGAATATTTGAAGCGAAATGGCTGTATAACTGGGGTAGGAAAATGAGTAGGATCGTAGACAACCACTCTGATTCTAATCCTTTTATATAATATGTATGAAACCATACTGGAGAGCTTCTAAAATGACCCCCATTGAATAGAGCAAGCACAATATAGCTTGCTCATATACTGTTACTATATTAGAAATTCATCAGTAATTTCTAGTATTTTAGATCCTGTTTGGAAAAATCAAATAATAGAAAACTATGCAGATATAGTCTATGTTTTCATGAATAATTGCCAGTGGAAGGCACAAATGGCCAACACGTATGTCAAGGGGTAAACCCAGATGGTGGTGGCACACACCTTTAATCCCAGCACTCAGGAGGCAGTGGCAGGCAGATCTCTGAGAGTCTGAGGCCAGCTTGGTCTATAGAGGGAGTTCCAGCACAGCCAGGGATGCACAAAGAAACCCTGTCTCAAAAAAAAAAAAGGTAAAAAATATAACTTTAAGAGGAAAGCCTCTTAAAGAATATGAGAATTCCTCCAGAAGCAAGGGATAGTGTCAACCGGAAATCTGGATTGAGTAAAAACCTTGGCAAAATGAACAAGAGTGCAAAGGTCCTGAGACTGATAATCTCTTCAAAATGGGCAAAAACTTAGGACAAGAGTGTCAAAAATAGGAGAGCATATTAGTAATTGATGAAATGGAGAGAAATGGGTTTTTAGGGCATATTTGGCCTGGGCAATCATTTTAGAATTCTTTCTAAGCTTAGAGGGCATCAGCTTTTCACTAATGCTTTGTTGGTGTTATATAAAAATAAACGGGGAAGAAAAGAGCAACAAATGCAGGAAGGGCAGATCAGGGATTTTTGCACTTATTTTTGTGTGTGTTCTCTCTGCGTCAGAGCATGACTGTCCAAGTTCCACTGAAAAGATGTTCTAAACAGACATGCAAAGTCTAAGAGACTGATTTTTCTAGTATCTGTTCCTTTTTGATTTCTAGAAACTGTGAACATGGGCCCAGACAAGAACAAAATAAACAAGCACATTATTTTTAGAAAGTCAAGCCTTTTACTAAATGAATCATCCTGCATGAATTCCTTTCCTAGTTAAGGATTGGTCCAAATCTTTGACCCATCTCATTCTGTACTAACATATTTGCCATAATTGGTTAGAAGATACCTGGGCATTCAGGGAAGGCAAAGGTAGCTTTTTAAGATTTTTCCGTTGCAGTGATTGGGCCCTTGAAATAAGTATAGAAATATATGTCTCTACAGATAGAAGTCCAAGATTAAGAGGACTATAGAACTAATGCAAGTGATTTGTATCAGCCTAGAGGTCCCTCCTACCCCTGCATTATATACTCTGTACACTAAACACCTTTAGGATCACAGAAGGACTCAAAAGAGGCCAGCACTTGACCGGTCTTGCAGTCAAAGTTTCAGTGTCTCACTCCTGGAAGTTTCAAAGCACAAGAGTGCATTTGCTGAGATCTTTCTTACTTTCTTTTTGGTTTTTGTTTGTTTGCTTGTTATTTTGTTGAAAAATTACCCTATGTTTGCAGTGCCAGGCAGCTGTCAATTTACCACAATGTGACAAAATCAGTTCAGGCTTAACTGTCAAGCAGCAAGAATATATAATTTGGGAACAATTTCACATTTTTGTTTTCATTGAAATATTTTTGAGAATATCCCCATTTGTTATAGTAGCTGTGGTATTGACAGCAACATGAATAGGGGAAACAAAGTCAGAAAAGGAACTAAAAACCAACTTTTTATGCAAATTCTGTTCTTCCAGATTTTTAGCTATATGTTTGGCAAATGCATGTTAAAACAAGAAATTGAAATTTTAGTTATTCTTGAATTATTTGCAGTTTATTCTTTGGAGATGCAGTTTCTCATCTTGGCTATGCATCAGTATTATTTTAGATCTCTCAAATTAGTGATTTTTTTTTCTAATGCTATTTTTATGGACTGAATCAGAATCAACAGAGAGTTCTGAAATGTTTTGTTTTAATATTATTTTTTTCTAACTCCATAAAGAAGATACTTCAGGCAACTTGATTTGTAGTTTGAATGGGACACACATTTAAGATTACTTTTATGATTACTATAATGGAATTATTCTCAAATTTGATTACAGTAGGACATATTTTTCAGTGCAATTAAATATTTATTTGGAGATGTCATGATATGCCTCTTTCAATTTGTGTATTATAGAGGCAAGTACAGCCTTTGGTTCCATTTAAATTAAAATAAACACTGCAGACTTGAAAGACACTAAGAATACAATTGTAGTAACAAAAATTAACCTGGTCACATAATATGCAGGACACTAGAATATTTGGAAAATAAAAACCTTCAAATTTGTTCAATATATGTATTTTAAATGTTATGGCAGCATTAAACCAAGACCTAGGGATCTGGATTAAAGCATACAACAAACGACAGCAGGAAAATGAAGTTGTGGCTGCATCTAAGTGAACTCAACATTTTAATACTGGGAAAAAAGTTAAGACAAGCAACAGAACAATGGTCACAAAGAGGTTGTTTAATTCCTTTGCTGACTATTACAGATGAGAATAAGCAGGCAATCCAAGAACCTCATGACAAGAATAAAAACAAAGAGAGAATTCTATGTATGAGACTGACAAAAGGCTTTAAGAAGGAAATTATTCTTAACTGTTATTTTCAATGATGAGGAGATATTCTCCCAGGAGACAAAAGGAAAAAAAAAAAAAGGAACAATTCAGACAGAGAAAGCTCCCTGAATCAAAAATGTACGGGTGTGAATTAGGAAAGTGCAGGGCAAGAGAGAGTTAGTGGTTCTTCATGCTGGAATGTAGACAAGACAAGGTAAGAGAGAGAAGGAAGGAGGGAGGGAAGAAAGAAGGCAGGGAAGAAGGGACAGAGGGAAGAAGGGATAGCTTTAGACAAAGAAAATTAAAAAAAAATAACACTTGCTGATATATAAGCAGCGTCTCCTTCGCCAAGCAAGCAAATATACAATTTATAGAGAAAGGAATGAAAATAATTCTTCTTTAAAGCAAAGGACACTGTAAACAGAACAAAACGACAGCCTACAGACTGGGAAAACCTTTTCACCAATCCTCTATCTGACAGGGGCTAATAACAGAATATATAAAGAACTCAATAAGTTAAAAACCAACAAACCAACTAATCCAATTTAAAAAATGGAGTATGGACCTAAACAGAGAATTCTCTGTAGAGGAATATCAAATTACAGAGAAACACTTAAAGAAATGCTCAACATCCTTAGCAATTAGGGAAATGCAAATCAAAACAACCCTGAGATTTCACCTTACACCCATCATAATGGCTAAGATAAAAAACTCCAGTGACAGCATATGCTGGAGAGGATGAGGAGAAAGGGAAATCCTCCTCCATTGCTGGAGGGAATGTAACCTTGTACAACCACTTTGGAAATCAATCTGGTGCTTTCTCAGACAATTAGGAATAGTGCTACCTCAAGATCCAGCTATACCACTCCTGGGCATATATCCAAAACATGTTCAACTATACAGCAAGGACATTTGCTCAACTATGTTCATAGCCATTTCATTTGTAAATGTCAGAATCTGGTAACAACCCATAGGTCCCTCAACAAAGGCATGGATACAGAAATTGTGGTATACAATGGAATACTACTCAGCAATTAAAATCAAGGAAATCATGAAATTTGCAGACAAATTGTAGGAACTAGAAAAGATCATTCTGAGTGACATAATCCAGATGCAGAAACACACAAATGATATATACTCACTCACTTATAAGTGGATATTAGCCAAAAGATATAGGATAAACATACTAAAATCTATAGCCCTAAAGAAGTTAACAGAGAGGACTCTAGGGAAGATGCTTAATTCCATTCAGAATAGCAAACAGGATAGACATCAGAAGTAGAAGAAAACAAGCAACAGGACAGGAACCTTCCACAGAGAGCCTCTGAAAGACTGCTCCCAGCAGGGTTTTGAAGCAGATGCTGAGACTCTTAGCCAAACTTTGGGCAGAGTGCAGGGAATCTTACGGAAGAGGGGGCAGCTAGAAAGACCTGGAGGGGACAGGAGCTCCACAAGGAGATCAACAGAGCTAGGAAATATGGTCCCAGGGGTGCCTGCAGAGACCAATGCTCCAACTGTGGGTTAATGGTTGAGCATGCATTCAGACCATGCATTGAGAGAACCTACTCCCCCTGCTCAGATGTAGCCCATAGGCAACACAGTCTCCAAGTTAAGTAAGGGAAGCAGAGGTTATTTCTGGCATGAACTCAGTGGCAGGCCCTTTGATCACCTCCCACTGGGGGGTGCAGCCTTGCCAGGTCACAGAGGAAGATGATTTAGCAAGTTTTGATGAGACCTGATAAGCTAGGGCCAGATAGTAGGGAAGGAGGTCCACCCCTATCAGTGGACTAGGGGAGGGGCATAGGGGGAGAAGAGGGAAGGAGGGTGGGCTTGGGAGGAAATGAAAGAGCAGGCTATAGCAGGGATACAAAGTGAATAAATTGTAATAAATAATAAATAAATATTTAAAATTTTTAAAAAGAAAATACCCAACTGTGCAATTTACACAAATCCTTTCAACTTCTATGTGGCAAGTGAGAGATGGGCTGAGACAGACACAGGCAGTCTAAGCTGTTAGATCCCTTTTACTGAACTAAGAAAACAGATAAAGTGCAGGGCAGGGCTTGGGTATTAAAGGTTCAGAAGCAGAATTCACAACAAGCCATCAGAAATAGAATAAAGAGGAAAAAAAAGAAGTAAGAATAGCATTTGCTTTGTGGAATACCTTGTATTGCCTAGAGAACCTGAAAGATGATCAAATCAAAGAAAAATGTTTGCCTTGTTTAAATTATTTCTCCATGCTTATATTTTATAACTTAATGCATTCAGATTAGAGCTGAAAAGCACGTTAGAGTAATAGAATATCTTTACTTAGGCTCAGTCCTTCATACGTAGGATTTTTTGTTGCAGAGTTTGACCTGAAAACAACAGAGCAAGAGGGAGCATTTGGACAGTCAGATGAAGATTTTGGTAATATAATATTTGGTATTTTGTTATGTCTTTACTTGTTTTAACCTCTTCAGTTAACCTTGTATATTCAGGTGACTTAGGAATAATGTTTAATAATGAATGAAGTGCTTTTAAATGTTGGATAGCTAGCACATATGTAATTTCTGGAGAGCATTATTAACTTACACTGATTATTCTGGAGAATGTAACATTATTTTCACATTTGTTCGGCGGCTGTACAGTTACCTTGCTTATGCTAAACACATCTACAGATCTTCTGCATGGTTAGTTGCAACAGAGAAGGAAAACATGTAGTTTAATAATACCTCAATATTAATGTGAAACTGTGCAACAAACAGACATATGTGAAAATGGAATTCTGGTTCTGCCTGAGTTCTCCTAGGAACCGTGGGTATTGGCTTTGCAGTGTTGAGAAGACTTGTACTGCCCTCAGCTACTATCAGAGGTCTGTACAGGCAGAGACTCATTTTATTGACTTCAGTATTTGCCTTCTGTAAACAAAAATATATTAGGCCTCTACCAAAAACAGACACTCAGTGAGAAAATGTATTTGAACCACTTTTTTCTTTACATACTTCTTACACTTACGTGTGTGTGTCTGTGTCTGATGCCCTGCATATGTTTGTGTTTGAAGGTGCGAGCCTGCATGTACATGTCATGTTTGCATATGCAAGTCTGTGATGGGGTTCAGCTTCCGTTTCCAGATGCAGTCTTCTTATGGTTGCAGCATGTGGCGGGCTAACTGGCCCATGAACTTCCTGGGAGTCTTCTGTCTACACCTCACATCTCCCTCCAGGAGGAGCCCTACAATTTCAGATACATACTACCAAGTCCAGTTTGATAAGGGTTCTGGGGATCCAAACTCAGATACACATCTGTATGGCAACAGCTCTAGCCACTCAACCACCTGCCACAATCCTTACATCTGAAGTTTATGGGAGGGAGCAAAAACCACAAGTGTGAGAGCCAGTTGTGTTTCTGGCCAATGGTGGTAACTCAGCATAAAGCTAGGAAAGAGATTAGTGATAACGACGAGGGTAGTGAAACTACAGTCTGGCATGCTGGGAACTTAGCCAAAGTTTGATATATTAGGGTTAAGAGGAAATAAAAGAATCTTTTGTGAGAAACTTAGCTGAATATAAAAGTGATTTAGAATGGGATGAGTGTATAGATGTATGTATTTTTTTAATACAATCATGTAAAATTTTATATTATTTCTTAATAACTGTATTTTATGTCTTGATATTGAAATTGTATTTAAGTAGATTATGTCTTTATATAGTTTACATAATATAATTTAACATTCTTTTATGGGTTTTATTTTTTTCCAAGTTTTGCCATGCTGAAAAATACCATGATGTTTATATCTTTTCCACTAACTTGGATTGCATCATTGACAATTTCCTTAAACTACAGTAACAGAAATTAGGATAAAAGTTTGACTTTTTGCTAATTTTAAATGGACTATAATGTTATTGTTGATAATCTAGAAAATTCAAAATGTCAATATCAGACAGTATTGACACAGGGAAAAATCCACAGTTTTACTTTCAGAGGATTAATTTGATGGTGTTTAGATTTTTACCGGAAGTAATCATCTACTTGAAAATACTCTTAATCTTCATTTTTGTTCTTATCTTTAACAGATATATTTTAAATCAGGTTCATTGCTATTTCTTTGATTAAATTCTACATTAATTTGTAAAATTGTAAATTATCTAAGATTATGTTTTTCAGTGTTTATTGAACACTATATGATTTTATGACCTATTTGGGAATAGTATATCTATATATCTATATATCTATATCTATATTTATATATCATCATCTTTTTGTAGATTAAACTGAAAACGAATAACAGAATTTATTTTAAAAGTGGTAACTTTTGGTCTGGAAGTAAAGTTTGTTCATTTTTATAGTAAAATTTACTATTCATTTTTTTCTCTTAAAGTCTTTTCTGCCATCTTAAGTTTAAGAATCAATTGTCCCAGTCCCTCCTGGCAAAATATGCCATATCAGTGTTAAGGACATTTGAACACAAATGTATATTCTCTGACATAATATCATCACTAGTGTATTTATATGTTATTTATAAAAAATATCTCATGATAAAAATACATTTGCATTAACACTAAGTGTGTTTGAGAGAGTGATAGAGAAACAGAGAGAGAGTGCTGAGACAATTTAAAGTTGTGTGGATCCCAGTTTCTCTATTAATATACTGGACATAATGGGTTGACAAAAAATTAAAGAACAGATACTATCTTTAATTGTTCGTTAGTGACTTACATGTTCAGAGAAAGTTGCTTTTGATTGACAGCAGCTCTTAAGAGCTAGCCCAGGCATCATGTGTCCACATAATACATAGACATTTCAAATATGAGTCAATACATGCATGTGATTTTAGAACCAAAAGATGTTCTGTTTAGAAATTATGACATAGTAATCTGACATGATGATCATGTAGAACCAAAGAAGATAACTTCCTACATCTTTTAAAGACTGACCTCACTGGGGTGGAAAAGGAGTGAAGAAAAGACAAACATACAGTCACATGGGCAAAAAGCTGCAATCCATTGGATTGGGCTCTTGGATGGACAAGCTACAGCCTCCTGGAAGCCCAGCCTGTTTATCGTGCACAGCTGAACAGGGAGGCAGGGTTAGCTGATCTCAGCAGGAGCAATCTCTGTAGGAGAGCAGTCATCTGACTATAAACATCTTTGTGGACATTTTTCACTTAAATTATCAACATTTGCCCTTGGGCCAGGAGAGAATGATTTTCCATTTCCCCGAGCATAGCAGGAGAGAAGCTTTGACATTTCTGATGGGTCTAAGTCACTGGAGTCTTTGACACTGCCATGCCCATGTCAGGAACACGTATTAACAAGGACTTAACTTGCTCCCTACCATAACTTGCACATTAAAAAGTGTCACAGAGTCACACACACAAACACAGAGCAGGATGTAGGAAGGGAGAGAGAATGAATGAATGAATGAATGAATGAATGAATAGATGGATAGATGGTCTACATAGGAGGTCCAGAGCAGCCAGAGCTACCAGCTACCTAGTGAAACACTGTCACAAAAACAAAACAAAAACAGGATGAACCAACAAAACAAACAAACAAAAACATCCAGTGCATAAAACAGGCTGAATTAAATACTTCTAATTAATGAGTTATTTGGAAGAGAAATACATATGTATGTACACACACACACACACACACACACACACACACACACTTCAATACTAGGGAAATATGGTCCTTTCTCACTGTCTGTGTGCCTATTGAAAACTAATGCCACAAGCACTTACAAGATTCAGCAGCATGATGATTATAAAATTGATACAGACAGCAGCAGCAGATGTAGCAAACTGCCAGTGCTGTTTGATGAAGTTCCACTTGAATGATGCAAACTGTTCCATGACAACCAGGCGGTACACCACAACTGCAAACACTGCTGTGATGACCAAGGAGATCTGCAAAGTGAGAGAGCAGAAAGGACACTCTGTTCTGGGTTACTAACAAACGGAAGGCAAAATACACACGGATACTCCATAAGTTGAAGGTATTTATCTTTCTGGGAGAGTGTGTATAAATTATATTTTCTTCCTTAAAGAAGGGAGTTAAACGAGAGTTGAAAAGCAGCGTAAGATGTAAGCTTAGACATATGAATGTCATGAGGTTAATATGTTTTTGGTTAGCTAGAACTAAGGACTGCTCGCCAGTATACTTCAAAACATCATGTTACATGTGTGAAGTACACATATTCTATGTTACTTTACATGTGTACATTCTATATTACTAGCATGCGTAAGGCTCTCAATTCAATCTACAGCACCCAAAAAAGGAAAGAAATCAATGAATAAACAAAACCAAAATCAAAATCAAAAGAGAAAGGAGAATTATTTGAGTTGTTTCAGTATGAAAACACTTATCATACTAACACTCAAATTCTACCTACATTTCTCCTCTAAAGACAGTGCTTAGTTTTTAAGGTGATATTTAGCTTTATACAGGCCACCTCTCAGAATTTCCACTTTGTCTTAGTTGTTTCTTCAAATAAGTGTCTTATTCAAAGAGACAACAAGCTGGTCTGGGAAAATGTCACAGGCTGACGATTGTTTATATATTATTTACTGTGTATTTAATATATAATTATGTACTATTAAAATGATATTGAAAACAGTAATTTTCTTTTGCATTCTTAAGATGGAACAATGAGTTGGTATGTGAGAATAACCCTTCTAAACCCCGCATCCCGCCAACACTGTCAAAGTGATGACCATATTTTACCATGAAGAAGATTCCTGAGACAGACACAAGAAGCCGCATGACTTTGTCAGACGGAGGCTGTTGAGGCTCGGGTTTTCCTGTGATGGGGTTTATCACCTCCATCCTGTAATATTTTGCTTCAAACTGGGGGCGAAGCGTTTCCTGTGGGAGAAACTAAGGTTACCTAAATAGAAAGTCCACAAACTAACAACAACAAAAAAAAGCTTTTGAGTTTTTTAGCAAAAAATCTTGATCTCAGAGTACATTTGTGTTGTTTTCTCAAAGATGCAACCTTTTAAAAAATGATGCCACTTACAGTTCAACTAAACCCTGGGGTGTACTTTAATAAGCACATTTTTTTAATGGATCCACTTTAAGAAAACGTTACAGAAATGGTTTTAACAACATATGTTTCACCCTTTACCCCTATTGCCTTCATGAAGCAGTGAATCTTGTCAGTATAATGTAATGGTGGGAATCTACTTCTAGTCTGATATTAGTGCATTGTGTAGTTCTGGGCTTTAAGTGATTCCCCAGATTCCTTAACTTCTGCTTTCCCAATAGCTTACCTCCTCTTCTTCCCATTCAATAAGATCCCAAGTGTAAGTCAGGATATTTCTTCTTCTTTTCCAAAACTCGAGAAAGACTGTGGCTATAAAATAATGATAATAGTAATAATAACAATAATAAAGATAATACAGTGATATAATTTACCACCTCAAATACACAACATTGCTTTTCTTCAGGCTGGTATATTTTATCATTAAATTGAACAGTTTAAAGTAACTAACTTGTTATTCAATAAATATTGGAATTCGTATTGCTACCATACTTCTTTCTGGTATTCATATAATGTTCTCTGTATGCGTGCCTAAAGGAAGGCACTTTTTAACACGGAAATTGATGACACTTTTGTTGGCATGGTATATAATCAAAAATGATGCTAAGAAAAAAGTTCAAGATTAGAGCAATAAATGCTATTGTCTTTCTCATGTTTACTCAAAATTATCTCAAAACTATAAATTCTCATCTACCAATGATAATCAAAACCTGGTATTACTCAACCAAGACTTGGGAGAAGTGGTGTGAAAGAAAGAGATAAGGTTCAAGGCTGTCTTGATGGAAATATGAAAAAAAGGGAAAGTAGAGAAGATTCTGTGAAGCATACTTGGCCATGTATAAGCTGAAGGAGACATGATGAAAAAATAGTAATATTGCCTCAGTTATTATGTGAAATTTCTGCATAAAAAGCAAGAGAAAACTGTGGCTATACTTTACACCTTTGAAGATTTTGGGCCTCTAGCTAAGAGCTCAACTGTACATCCTGAATGTGTACTGTGCAATTTGTATAAGTATCCATTTATTTGCTGTTCTTGTATTTTGGTTAAGGCATGATAACCTCAGTGATCATCATGTCTAGCAGAAGACGACACTGGTCTTTGTAAGTATAATGTGCCTATAATGAGGAAGTATTACAATACAATCAGCAAAATACTATTTTTATTTAATTTTATTTATGTATTTATTTATTACAATTTATTCACTTTGTATTCCCACTGCAGCCTCCTCCATTTTCTCCTTCCAGTCCCAACCACCCTTCTTTTTCTCCCCCTATGGCCTTTCCCTATTCCCCTGATAGAGGAGGACCTCCTCCCCTTCTATCTGACCCTAGCCTATTAGGTCTTATCAAAGCTGACTGTATCATCTTCTTCTGTGGCCTGGCAAGGCTGTAACTAACACCCCCTCCCCGTGGGAGGTGATCAAAGAGCCAGCCACTGTGTTCATATTAGAGACAGCCCCTGTACCTTTTACTAAGGAACCCACTTGGAAACTGAGCAGCCAATGGGCTTCTTTGGTCAGGGATCTAGGTCCTCTCCATGCATGGTCCTTAGTTGGAGTATTGGTTTCTGCAGGCACCCCTGGGCCCAGGTTTTTTGGCTTTGTTGGTCTCCCTGTAGAGTTCTTGTCCCCTCCAAGTCTTTCCATCTCCCTCTTCTTCAGTAACGATTCCGGCACTCTGCCCAAAATTTGGCTATGAGTCTCAGTATCTCCTTCCATATCATGGGGGGAAGAGTCTTTCAGAGGTCCTTGGTGGAAGGCTCCTGTCCTGTTCCTTGTCATCTCTGACTTCCTATGTCTATCCTGTTTGCCCTTCTGAATGAAGGTTAAGCATCTTCCCTAGGGTCCTCCCTCTTGTTTAGCTTCTTTAGGACTAATTGATTTTAATATGTTTAGTATTATATCATATGGCTAATATCCACTTCTAAGTGAGAGTATATCACTTGTGTCTTTCTGCATCTGGGATACCTCACTCAGGATAATCTTTCCTAGCTCCCACCATTTGCCTGCAAATTTCATGATTTCCTTGTTTTTAATTGCTGAGTAGTATTCCATTGTGTAAATGTACCACAATTTCTGTATCCATTTCTGTTGAGGGACATCTAGGTTTTTTCCAGATTCTGGCTATTACTAATAGAGCTGCTGTGAACATCGTTAAGAAAATGTCCTTCTTGAATGGTGGGGCATTTTTTGGTATGTGCCAAGAGTTGTAAAACTAGAAGTAGCACTATTCCTGATTTTCTGAGAAAGCGCCATATTGATTTCCAAAGTGGTTGTACAAAGTTACATTCCCACCGGCAATGGAGTAGGGTTTCCCTTTCTCCTCATACTCTCCAACATACATCATCCCTTGAGTTTTTGATCTTAGCCATTGTGATGGGTGTGAGAAGAAATCTTAGGGTCATTTTTATTTGCATTTCCTGAATGACTTAGGATGTTGAACATTTAAGTGTTTCTCTGCCATTCGCTATTCCTCCATTGAGAATTCTCTGTTTAGCTCTGTACCCCATTTTTTAATTGGATTACTTGATTTTTTTAGTGTTTAACTTCTTGAGTTCCTTGTGTTCTGGATATTAGCCTTCTGTCAGATACAGGGTTGGTGAAGATCCTTTCCCAGTCTGTAGGCTGTTTTGTTTTGATGAGAGCGTCCTTTGCTTTACAGAAGCTTTTCAATTTCATGAGGTCCCACTTTATGATTGTTGATCTTGGAGCCTGTGTTGTTGGTGTTCTGTTCACAAAGTTGTCTCCTGTGCCAATAAGGTCAAGGATCTTCCCCACTCTTTCTTTTAATTGATTTAGTGTGTCTGGTTTTATGTTCAGGTCTTGATGTACTTGGACTTTAACTTTGTGAGCAGTGATAAATATGGGTCTAATTTCATTTTTCTACATGTGGACCTCCAGTTAGGCCAGCACCATTTGTTGAAGATGCTGTCTTTTTCCATTGCATGGGTTTGGCTTCATTGTCAAAAATTAAGTTTCCATAGGTGTGTGGGTTTATTTTTGGGTCTTCAATTCGATTCCATTGGTCCACCAGTCTGCTTTTATACCAGTACTATGCCATTTTTATTACTGTTGAGCAAAATACTATTTTTATAAGAAAAACTCTGGTTGATGAAGCAAAATAAGGTCTTTCCATTGATTTCATTTTTTCTTGACTTCAGTACCAAAAAATAAGAAAGGATGAGATTTAAATTTTTATTATTACTTATTTTTATATATTTTTTATTATTAGTTACATTTTATTAACTCTGTATCCCAGCTGTATCCCGCTCTCTCATTCCCTCCCAAGCCCTCCCTCCCTCCCTCATCTCCTTTTTGCCCATTTCCAAGTTCACTGCTTGGGGAGGACCTCCTCCCCTTTCTTCTGACCCTGTTTTATCAGGTATCTTCAGGACTGGCTGCAAAGTCCTCCTCTGTGGCCTAGCAAGACTGCTCCTCCCTTGGGTGGTAGGGAGGTCAAAGAGCCTACCATTGAGTTCCTGTCAGAAATAGTCTCTATCCCCCTTACTACGGGAAACCAATTGGTTACTGAGCTACCATGGGCTTCATCCGAGCAGAGGTTCTAGGTTATATCCATACATGGTGCTTGGTGGAGTGTTAGTCTCAGAAAAGATCCTGTGCCCAGATATATTTGGTCCTTGTGGAGCTCCTATCTTTTCTACATCATACAAACTCCCCCTTCTTTCATATGATTCCCTGCACTCTGCCTAAGGTTTGGTTATTGGTTATGAGTCTTAGTATCTGCTTTGATACACTGCTAGGTAGAGTTTTTCAGGGGTCCTCTGCATTAGGCTCCTGTCCTGTTATTTGTTTTCTCCTATGTCCAATGCACCTCCCATTTGTCTTTCTAAGTGAGGAATGATCATCTTACCCCGGGTCCTCCTTCTTCTTTATCTTCTTCAGGTGTATAGATTTCATTATGTTTATCATATCTTATAGGACTATATGAGTGAGTATATACCATGTGTGTTTTTCTCCTTCTGGGATACCTCACTCATAATGATATAATTTTTGATAATTAAAAGTTTAGATATATATTAGTAGTTAGATACCATATTCAGTTACTTTACAGTACATATTAATCTTATTTTAAGATTTATAAAATTTCTTTTCATTTATCAGTAGTTTTATTTAGGACATAATTCATTGTATCTTTAAAATTTTCAAGAAAATAATGAAAATTATGATGACTCACTTGGATTTGAAAACAAAGGCGCATAGTCAGTGTCTGCAGTCATAGAACAAAATGGTGGAAGATCCATGGCTGATGCTGAGCAAATACGGCTGATGCATTCTGCCGAATGGCTGCCATTTCTAGGCCTACCATAATAGTATGTACTGATTTCTTGCAAAGTCCTAATATGTTAGAAATGGCTAAAAGAGGCAGCCTCACCAGACTTCATTGATGAAAAGGTAAGCAAGGTTTTCCCAGCACTGAGTTGGCCTTTAAATTAACAGACTACAATCACTAGCAACAGAGGGATCTAAGAAAAGTGGGATGTGGGTGGAAATAAGAGAGAAAGAGGAGAGAAAAAAGCAAGAGAGAGAGAGAAGATGAATGAGACATAGTATGGCAATGATAGTATGCCATGATTTCCAGCCAAGAACACCTAACATTTTTAATATGGACAATAAGACAGAATGTTCAATCATGTACTAATTAACATCTGTCTCAGTCAGCACTTGCAGTTGGACTGGATAAAATTGCCTCTTAAGGTCCCTCAATAGCCTATATCTGAACAGGAGGCATCTAACACAAGATCTAAATAAAATAAGGATGACTTGAATATTGCAGTTTCAAAGCAGTAACCTTCAGGAGCTGAGTCTTGGCAAGATGGCATTTTCATTGAGCTCAGTACTGAATTGGGTTGTTTGTTAAAACTTCACTCTCACTGAGATATATTCTTTTCATCCCTGGCTTATTTATTTGGGCTCTCGAGGGAATCCATATCCTCACTTTTTAAAAACAATTAGACTGAAAGTTCTAGAACACTTTAGTGTGCTAGACATAGAGCAAGGATGAAATTTAGTATTTACAAATACCTACCTAACTTACAAAATAAATAAAAAAAAAATCTAAATTCAAAAATTTTAGCAATCATTGCTTCTGGTGGTCACCCGAAGTGATGGGTGTAGTACAGTAACTTCTTTCATGAAAGTGGTGCTTATACAAGTTCATATAAAACTCAAAGTGGCCAAACTGTATCTGGTTTATGGATTTTGATATATGTAAATTATATTCGCAAAGGTTGTTTCAGGACTGGGAATGATAGAGCACACCTTTAATCTCAGCACCAGGAGGCAGACACAGGC